AAAACGAAACTTTGTTTTGAAATAAAACTGTATATGAGACAGTATATGATTGACATGACAGTATGTTTTTGATGCACACACAGGAATTTCTAATTACGCTACAAGAACCAGTGCCTCAGCCAAACAAACACGAGGAAAAAGAATGGTGGCATCCTGAGTGTACTCGAATCGCAGCAGAAGAAATGCTAAAGCGTATACCTATAGATGGTGCATTTTTAGTAAGACCTAGTGAAAGAGAAAGTAATTGTTATGCAATTTCATTTAGGTATGTTTGCTCCCTTAAAGCGTCTCGTGTTTTTATTTTTATAGCTTTAGATTATATAGACAACCGCTTACATTAATATATGTACATCAAATTATATTCTATTATAGAGCGGAAAAGAAGATAAAGCATTGTAAAATAAAACTCGAAGGGAGGCTCTATACCACTGGGACCGTAGAATTTGAGAGTTTAGTTGAATTAGTCAGTTATTACGAACGACATCCATTGTTCAAAAAGATTAAATTAAGCCATCCTGTTAATCAAGATATGATCAGAAGAATGGATTTGGTATGTATTTACTGTTCGAATTTTCTTTAAGTTTATATAGAATATATAAACTATTTAAATATAAGAGAATACTGATAGAGACAAAGTATATTATAATTCATCATTCCTTTTTCTTTGTATTTAGGATAACGATGATGGATCTGTTTATGGCATCCCAGGTTATATGGATCCTACAAGTTTTACATCAAAAGTAAGCTTTCTAAAATCATGCCGCCAATTATTAAATTCATGTTTACCAATTCTTATAATGTGACAGAAACCTGTATAGAAATATTTGTAAGTTGATATATTATTAATCACAGATGTATTAATGTAAATTGAATTACTTTAAAGGTTACTGTTAAGGCTATTTATGATTATAAAGCTAAAAGAGATGATGAATTGACATTAGTCAAGCATGCTATAATTACTAACGTTAATACGCAAAACGGAGGATGGTGGAGAGGTGATTATGGTGGTAAAAAACAACATTGGTTTCCTGCCAATTATGTGGAACAAATTGATCAACAAGAAACTCAAGGAGATGTAAGTCTCAAGTTGTATTTACGCCTAAATGAATAATGGTCAGAGAAAAACTAATGTATTGATATAATATAATTGTATTACACCCAACTTAAGAATATCTTGATTTTTAGTCAGCGGATTCTATGATGCTTGGTAGCTTGCAAAAAGGCTCATTAGATATTATGGGTGCTGTGGTAGAATTAACAGTTGGGGAAAGACCAGGTTTAGAATGGGTTTTAAGAATACAAAATCCAAGTATGTGTTCAGTATTCGAAGTCGCGACACCTTCGAAAGATATCGCGTTAGAGTGGATGTCAAGTATCAAAGAGACTGCACAAAATGCAAGTGTCAGGGTAAATATGTAATTTCCATTATATTAAATTTAAATATTATTTAAATATTATTTAACATTGTGTGCATTATATATTGTTTTATTTTTATTAGGAAAATCAACATAAAGAAATGGAAAGGGCATGGAGAATAGCCAAGGAAATGTCTAATCTTATAGTATATTGTAGATCAGTCGCATTTAACATAGAACGAATAAGAACTAAGGGATTTACGTTTAATGAAATGAGTAGTTTCCCTGAAACAAAGGCTGAAAAATTAATGTGTCAACAAGAAAATAAGTTTTTTATTAAGTATCATCAGGTAATATACAAAGAATCGAGAGAGAGAGAGAGAGAGAGAGAGAGAGAGAGAGAGAGAGAGAGAGAGAGCAAATCCAT